AGACATGTCAGGGGGGGTGCAGGGGAAGGGGGGGAAGGGAATGTCCAGAGGTGTTAGCAGGGATGGTCTGGGCATCCCTTGAGATATAAATGACCACTATAACCTATGTTTTTAAAATGTAGAAAAATATCAAATTGAAACAAAAACAAAAAATTACAAGATAGAAATTTTAAAGTAAAAATATTTTTATATATATATATATATTATATAGTTATCTTTTTTTGCAACTTTTGTATGTAAATAGTTAAATTAGATTTAATTTTTCCACAGACAGTAAGTATAAATAATTGCTAAAACTATTTTATTTGTGTGGTGAATGAATGTTCAACATCTTGATGGTATTCTATTCAACTTAAAGTTCAGTTAATATAACACAGTACCTGTAAGAAACAATACAAGAGCACATTTTTAAGCACAGTCTGACTGAAAGCGAAAAGGTAGTAAGATCAAATACTAGTGGAATCTCAACACATAGCCGTTTTTGAAAACAGGAAAACAGATGCAATACAAAAATAACACTGACCTTTAAACTGACCTTTAATCCTTTAATACTGTATCTGTTTTACTAGTTTCATTTCAACAAGGACCCACAATTCAACCCTTTCTTGAAAAAAAACAACATCTTGCTGTCCACTTCTTTGATGTAATAATTACTTGTAAAAATGTTATGCAGAGAGAATGGTACGTGGATTGGGAGTGTCTTGAGAAGGCAGTGGGCTATGTGGTTACAGTGCTGTGGTGCAAAGTAAAAATCTGAATTATTACACCTTGAGTACACATGCAGGCCTCTTTAGTCCATAAAGGTACATTTGTACATACATGGAATAAGTATGTTATTGGAACATTTGGTAGTAGGGTTTGAACCAGCACCACCCACCACAGCTGGGCTCTGCACAACATCTGTCAACAACGTCTACTGTTGGGAAGGCAGCTCGTCCAGCAAGTGGAGCTTTTTTATATGCAGACACTTTTTAGGGCTCACAAGGTTTTTTCTCTCTGCTCGGCGGTGTAGCATCCAGCGTGTCAGTCAAACTGCAGTTTTTGTGGCCATCAGGGCAGGCTGAGGTTGAGAGGGGTAACCCCTTGCTGGTTGTGTGGATGAGGGGGTCTCTCTGGTCTGTCTGTGTCTTGTTGTCTGGAGGGAGGAAAGTGGTGGGCTGAGGTTATGATTATATTTATGTATGGCTGGGTTTGCACATATGCAAACATGCAGAAAGATACACATCAAGGTTGCAGATCCAGACACGCTGTTATTTTTAAAGCCATGTACATGAACTGTACATAAAAGAGTCCCTCTTCCTCTTTTCTATTTTCAATGTGCAGTATGCACCTCCAAAGCTGTGTTACACATCAAAAAAGCAGTTTAAATGTTAAACTGACAGTGAATATGCATGACAAGACCACCCTGCAGTAGGGGATGCTGTGACCCATTCTGCTGTCTTAGTAGTCTTTAAAGGCCCTGACACACCAAGGAGATTGTTGGCCGTCAGTCCTAGTTTGACCGTCAGTGAGCGGTTGTCGTCCAAGTTTTTGCGGTGTGTCCGGCTCTGTCACTACCCGTCGCCCCAGGTCGGATCCCATCAGCCTTTTTTTTTGGCCGATTCAACATGTTGAATTGAGGTATCGGTGAGAGGTATCTCTCTGATTGGCTGTTGGGAGGTTTCATTTATCTCCAGCTCTCGACACAGGTTCAGGAAAGCCCCTTGAGCATGCCACTGTTAGTATCCATGCTTTCACCCATTAGTGTGGTTTCTCCTTATTTGTTGCCAGTGCCATTTTCACATTTTTATCAGACATTATTCTCGATAAGTAGGCTACCTATAATATGAGTGGTGCACGACAGCGGTGTGAAAATGGTCTTCTCATATCATAACAACGAGCTACCGCCGCCCTTCACGCATGCGTAGAACGTACGTGGTGGTCGGCCGTCGTCTGTAGTCTTTGCAGTGTGTTCTAGTGCAACTTTTTGGCCAAGACGTGAGGCGGCGGCAGGCGACGCCACAGTCGGCCTTCGTCGCCAATAGTTCTTTGGCGTCTGCTTGGTGTGTCAGGTCCTTAAGGGACACATGTGAAGGAAGACCCTCTGACACGTGGCACAGAGCCAAGAAACAGCCTTGTTGAACCATAGGATGTAGTCATTGTCACCAACACCTTAACACAAACTACCTAAGGAAATTAACTTTGAAGAGTGATTGACAGGTTAGCCTAAAACAAGAGTTTTCAATGGTAGGAACTTAAGTTCCTTTTTGCCTCTGCATGCAGACAATAGATATGACAGATAGAGCTGCAACATCAGCATAACAGTAAAATTTGATTTTCTGATGGTGAATGATAAGATGGGAGGGCATCGCTTAAAGAGAGAGAGGACCAAGAATTTATCCTTGAGGTATGCCGCAAGTTGTTTGTGCAGCAGGAAAGATAAAAGAATAAACTCTGACATGACATTTTCCATTTGATTTTTTTGTGTTTTGACATCCAGCCAGAGCATCAAAACCTGATTTTCCCTCAGGCTTTTCCTTGAATCCTGCACTCTTTATGGCCTTTTCTTGCTATTGAATGTATCACTGATAGAGATCGCATGATTGATCAGATGGACAGTACGACATGAAAACACAAAGTTTAATATCTCTGTTTGACTTGTTTTAAACTCAAACATCCTGACATTTACGTATACAAACGCTCTTGTTATGTTTCAGTTTTACGGTTGATTACAAAATGGGTGTAATCAGTGTTGCAAATAAAAAGGCGAAGTATGTGCTGTTGGTGATTATAACAGATAGTAAATCTAACAACAACAATACAAACATAATAATAAAAGCTTTGTTTCATATCTCAAACTGCAGTTTTACCCTCATCTGCATCTTTAAAATAGCCCATCATTTCTATTAAGCCCCTGCTAAATGTTAATGTATTTGTATTGCTGTAGGTAAAAAGTAAATTCACAGTACTGGGTTTGGCGAAAAAGGATGGTATTGAGAGACCTTATCTCTTTGTTTCCAGCCCTTCCTCGCCCTACATTCCTAACAAAGAGAAATATTCGTGTTGAGAAAAGTGTGTTTGGAAGCATGATGTTCACACTGTGACAAGGCCATCCAGACAAATCCCAGCTGCACAGAGGCACACCTCCCCTGTGAAACAGCTCAACACTGGCAGCTCTGTCACCTCCAAAAAGGCTGACAAGTGGAGTAAGACTGATTTACTGAGCCAATATTAGCCGACATGTCATACTAAAATAATACGACAACAAACCAAAATATTTTAAAAGTGAAAAACCATCTTTATTTTCAGCAGTTTTATGCCTCAGTAAACAGTAATTAGTCATAAATGTTGTAGGATGTTATCGTACGAATCTTAAAATAAGAAACGTGTATTCTTTTCTGGGCTTTCTGGCGACCAATACCAAGGTGTATGGAGAGTGAACGTTTTGAAGAGGTCAAAAAGCTCCAGCAACACTTGTAGCCTGAAGATCAACTTAACTTTATTAGACTGACGGGTTTGGATAGAATACCCGAGCTGATCCCAGCTGTCATCGGGCTAGAGGCGGGGGTACACCCTGGACTGCCTCTGCAACACAATAGTATTTCTGTGTAATTGTTTTGGTTTAGATTTATTTTGTTTTCTGGGTCTACAATGTAAAAATGCAATTAACTGTTGGACTGGACGTGGCTATAGACTAACACATGCTGCATATTGTTAGTATCGCAGAGTAAACATGTGGAGTTTGTTTTTCAAATGATTGGTTGCTGCAGTGATGTTAATAGGGTTTCAATGAAGTGAGTCCCCAGGGAGCCACAGGTGGTGATTTGATCATGTCCATGGGAAACTGAATGTGTCCCAAATAGAATATGCGTCGCCTGAATAATTATAGTGTTAAAAGTGTTTGATGTTGGTATGGTATGCTATAGTTAATTTACAAAAATATTCATAAATATAGGAGTTGTTTTAGCGGCTAAACTAGCATCACTGTGGGACTTTTTTATCACCGATAGTGACAGTAATTTTAGAGGGAAAATATAGATTATACTGATGTAGTAGTATACATAGTGAATCATTCAGCTGAAGTGAAAATAGATTCTTCAGTGTTCGTTTATAGCTATAATGCAAAGGAATTGTATATCAGCAGCTTGTATCCAAACATGTAAGTCACAGAGCTGGCCATCACAAATCATTTTCAAAATTTGGAGCCTAATCACAAGGGGACTCTCTGTTGTGCCTGGTGCAGGATGGACACCCTGGGCTCGCTTCCATTCCCCTCTCAGCTTCCCCTTTTTTCACGCCCAGCCAGATGAGCGGCTGACCGCCTGCCTTCAGCCCACCGGCTGGTATTCCCTCACTGCTCCACATGTCTGCATGCTGCTGGAAAGCCAGTTGGCTGAGTGGGGGAAAAAAAAAAAAAAAAAAAAAAAAACCAATGGCATAAAAAGAGCATGTGAGAGTGATGTCAGAGCTGCCCGGACTCATTTCAGCCGGACCCCTGGCAGGAGCATGAACGCTTCGCTGTGGTGTGTGGACATTCTCCAGAGTTGCACTCAGAAAAACTGGATCCCTGTTCCGTTTTTTCCCCCCCATGTGGATCCTTATATGTTTCCAAAATGACCAGGGTTTTCTCAGAATGCTGCAGCAGCAATACCTCTCCACCTATGCTGGAAAATTAGATCTGAATGGGGAAATTGTCTTTTAAAAAAATATCAAGTAACCCCCCCCCTGCACCCTCCTCTTTCCTTTCAAATTAAAACACCGAGCGCTCCCCGTGCCCCTCTACCTCTCACCGCTTTGCCAGCTGTGCAGCCCGAGACCGCTGCCAAAAGAAACACAAGCTTACGTCAACTTCCAAATAAGGAGCTGCTACTTCACTTTGACCTGAAAGAAAGACACTAAAAGAGGATGGTGGGGAGGGGTGGGGGTGTGTGAAAGAGGTGGAGATAGACAGACAGCAAGAAAGTGTCCCCTCCTCCTCATTCATACGCATAATATACTCCGCTACCTGTTTATCAGCCCAGTGCACGTACAGCGGAGACTCGATTGCCCCTCTCTCTTCACCGTCACTCTCATTCATCCTTTTTCGCTCTCTCTCTCTCTCCTTCCCTTCACCTCTCTCTCTCTCTCTCTCTCTCTCTCTCTCACTCTGCCTATCTCCGCTCTCCCCCGTTTCCAGTCATTCACAATCGGAGGGCAGCTCCACCTGCTACCAGGTAAAACAAGCCATTGATAATTCTTTCTTTCTGTTGTGTACTGATTTTGACGCGTGTGTGAAGTGGTGTGAATGACGTGATGTGTTGTGAGGACAGTGGGGAGATTTTCTCCATTCAGGTCTTTGTTACTGCAAACGGCTGCTACATGAATGAGGCAAGTGGCGAGTGCTGGAAAATAACATCGTTTGTGGAATTGGAGCAAACTGATTTGTATGGGAATTAGTGTTTCTTGCTGTTTTAAACATTTGCAGAGAGTGCAGCCTCTGCAGTGAGGGTGTGTGTTTGTGTGTTTGTGTGTAAATGAAAAGTGCATACAGTGAGTCGTTCGTGGGCTGTGTATGTTTTAAAGCTCACAGCTCAGACTGGAAGTGAATGAGCTCCCTGTGTTGTGCATCCAGCCTCCTATGCTTGGCATGTCCTCCTGTGGACTGACTGGGGAACACTCCCGAGTAGCGTGAACACACACACACACACACACACACACACACACACACACACACACACACACATAGAGGACTCGCTGTGTATGCGCTCACTCCCAGAGGGCTCTCCTCTCCGTCTCCCTGGAGAGCGCCGCTCTCAGGCTGCTGATGAAGCTGCTCTGTCTGTCTTGACAGCGCTGCTAACCCTCAGCTGACATTGTGCTGGAGACACAACAACAGATCACAGCATTTGTTGCTTAGTTCGGATGAGTCTGCTATATGACCCTTTAGGCGAGATCAGTCCAAATTAGCATGCTGTTTCCATTGTGTTTCTTTTTGCAGTGGAAAACAAACACTTCTGCACTCAAAGTTGTTCATTCTGTGATGACATATTTAATTCCCGTTATGTAAGGTGTAAAATGGGGTAACATCACAAGGATGCTGAGGGGGACGTTATGTGCATAATCCTGTTTAAATTGCTCCATTGTAAAAATCATGGTGGCTAGTTCAACAACTTAAGAAACTTACATAAACTTCTATGCAGAGTTTTGCAGATTTCAAGCCTTCCCAGGTAGTCAAACAGAAATTTTACAAGAGAATGATCCATTGAAACAATTTATTTTTATTCGTTTTTAAAAAAAGGTATGCGTTCAGAAGAGAACATTTTGATAATAACTGCCATGCACACAAGTCAGCAAAAATGATTAAAACGCTGTAGTATACATACCAGGTCAGTAGTTGCCGGTGTAACTTCTTTTTTTTTTTAAACTACTTATAAGATGTTTTTTGGGCTTTTATTGGAGAGACAGGACAGTGGATGGAGTCGGAAATCAGGAAGAGAGATAGAGTGGAATGACATGCGGGAAAGGAGCCACAGGACGGAGTTGAACCTGGGCCGCCCGGACTGAATCCACCATACATGGGGCGTGCGCACTAACCACTGCGCCACCAGTGCCCCAAGGCGTGTAACTTCTTCAATGAAACCATACGTGCACATACCTTTACTTTTACAGAGCGGTGAGGTGTAAACATAAAGAAATGGCTAACGCAGAAACATATGTGAGGACGGACAATGAGTTTGGGTAGCTACTCCAAGTGACCCTAAACTACAAAGCGAGTACACTTGATTTGATTCGGGTTTTTGAACAACAAAAACAGAACTCAGGAGTCCGCCATTGTTGTTGTAGTCCACGTACCAGTCATGAGGGTGTGCGTAAAGTTGCAACATAAACATGGTGACGGAAACAGTTCAGTTTTTAAACATTTGCACTCTGGAACCCGAATTCTCTGGAATTCTTTGTTTTCTTTGTTGCCAAAACGCGACAAAGGTTACCATTTTAGGCTGCAATCGTTGTGTAAACCTGTCCTAAGATTCAAAGCCTCTTTAAACCCACTCAGGTGTTTTTAATTATTCTGGCCGATTAGACCAGGAAGTGATTGTAAATATGAGAAGCTATGTTGAGAATTTATCATTTTACAAAGCCTAAGCACCAACAAGTGAGATAAAAGTGATCCAGTCCCAAAAGGCAAAATTCAAAATAGACAGATTAGTGGAACTGTCAATCAATCAAACTTGGCTACACCCGACTGAGAAGAGGTCTAATCAAGGGTTCAGTCACTAACACCTGTGTGGGTGTACACAGGCTTTGCGATTGTACAGAGACCGGATATCTAATGCAGGAAACTTTTCGACTTTTAACTTCCAGTTTTTTGTATCAATCTATTCTGCATGTTCTTTCTGCAAAGTTTTGTGAAGAAAACATCCAATTCTTGAATTGTTTTATAACACAATTTCTGTACTTTTATCAGTGATGATGGTTTTTTTGTCTTACATAACCAGTAAGCTTCGGTTTTTACTGATTTCAGGAATATTACGCATTGGACAATACTTCTAGAAATGACATCATAATCACCACAAATACCAATCAAGACCTTATCTGATGCAGAGTAGTGAGAGAAATATGTTGCCCATTTTTACTCAGAATAAATCTGTTATATAAACCTCTTAGACTCCTGTACCTTTTGAAAACTTAAAATATTTCCCTTTTAAATCAAGCCAAAGGGAATATGAATAAGAATGGTTTCAAATTGTTTCCATGGTTAAATAATCTAGAATCACGTGGCTTCGTTTTACTATGGAGGCTGGCCATGTGCCTTTTTTTGGTCATCCCTTGTACAGGATGCATTTCTTCTTTCTGGTTTCTCCTGAAAGGAACGGGGGAGTAAAAGTGTAGTACGAATTCAAGACTCCGAAAGTATTGATTTTCCTTTGAGATGTGTACCTCCTCAAAAAAAAAAAAAAAAAGCTAAGCTTCGAGGAGGGAGGCACCTTCGCCTGCCTCGCTCTCTCCCTCTCTCTGTAGTCAGTGAGGATGCTGGAAGATAAATTTAGCCCTCCAGCTCTCCTTCCATCTGCTACCACATGGTTTAGGGCCGTTACCATAGGAACCACCGCTGGGTGCCCATTAGTGTGAGAAGAGGAAATTGAGAAGATTTTTAAAAAGCCATTTATACAATATTCTCTTTCTGTGTTGTGTGTGAATGGAAGCAGCATTTCACAAATTTATACAAGAGAGAGGTTTTTTTTTTTTGTTTACCTGAGGTGACTCGTTTAAGTACCTTCAGATTCGAGCATCCTCTGCAGAGTGTAGCTGTGTATGCCCACACTGCAAAGATATTACCTGCACAGATTAGGTAACATAAATATGGGCTGAGGTTTGTGATAAGAAGCATTTGGTATTTAGGTTGTCAAAAAATACTTTGTTTTGTTTTAAAACTGGTGGTATGGAAACGTATCAGTCTCTGTTGTTTTCATGACTCAGTATCAAAAAGTACCTAAGCTTACAAAAAGTCTCTTTTTCACAAGAAAGGTGCGTTTCAGAGGAAGCAACCGAAAAATATCCAACATATTTGTACATTTTAGACGGCGTGAGGGAGATCACCTGCAATTTTTGATATTTGAAATCAAGAAATTACCCAATACTGTTTGCCTAGGACTTCTATTTTTGTTGCCGTGGTATCAAAGCAGGTATTCATACCATTTGATTTTTTAGCAGCGTCAACAATGAAGTTTAAAATTCCGGTATCATGACAACTCTCCCGTCCATTATGGGTCCATCGCGATATGTTGACATTGGCATGTTTGTTTTCCTTTAAGTGCTGATTTGAAAAAAACAAGCTTGTGTTGAGTTCAAATTAATCTTATGTTGTTTACTCACTTAGTTTGTGGTCCTCGCTGCACTGTCTTCTGTATACAGTTGCAAAGAATTACATTATAGCAGACACATGTCCACACCAAAATTGGTAAACTATATTTATCATGTTAGATTTTCTTCATTAAAATATTTCTAAAGAAAGCAGCGTTTGGAGAACCTTTACATTGTAAAGTAGCTGCAAAATCTGTGCACATTAAAATATCTGTTTTCATTCCAGATTAAAAACTCACTATATCATCCACCATAATCAGATCAAATAATGATAAAATAAAACTTGGACTAGAATCAGACTCAAACACTTAAATCAGCTCTTTAAAAAAAATGAATCTGTTAGCAGTCATGGAAACCGCCAGCTATCGTCTGACGAACTCAGTGAACTTTTCAGCTTTTCTGGGCTTCCAGTGTAGCCAGCAGGTAGGGACATCATGCCATGACTTCCTTTCCTGTGCGCTGCATTGTTACAGTCCAACCAGCAACTTGAGAAACAAGAATGGTGTTACTGGGAAGTGGGAGACGACATCAATTACGGGATTGTTAGCTTCACTTGCATGCAGATATGTGTTTTATTGACAGTAAATAATGTGACATCATCATCACATGTCTTTTAATGGGAGAGATGGATTTCATAGGAGTGGACTGCGTTCTGCTCTCATTCAGTGTCTTACTGTACTGCCTTGTCTCCAGCACCAGTGATGCTGACTCTTAACATCACAAAAATCAGGAAAAGGAAAATCTGGAAATCTTTCATATATTGTTAAACAGCTCTTGAAGCGTTCATTTGGATTTGATAAATCAAAAGAGGATGTTTTGACACGGAAAAGATACCGGTAATTACACTTTTTGTAAATTTTTAATTATTTATTGTAAATGAGAAGATTGCAAGAAGTTTGTTTGTCAGCTGTGACTTATAGCTGTTTACCTTGAGAGAATAAGATTGAAAGCAAAGAGCAGTGGGGAGAACAAGATCTGAGTGGAGCGAAGGGTTGAAGGAAAAAAAAAAAATCTGCCTGCTAGCTTAATTTGCACCTCTCATGGTGCAAATTAACAGACCTCAGTCAACTCTGGGATAAGTGTAAGCCTCACAAGTGTAAATGAGCAGATGCCTTGTCTGAGTTTAGAAATGTCACTTGGTTTTGGGTGCCAGTGTTGTACTGCATGAGCTGTGTATCTGAAACCAGTTTCTCTCCAGACATTGTTACTCTCATGATGACTATGATGGTGCTTTGGATGTTCCATATTCTGATCTGAAGAATATATGCAGAAATAACTGCATCTCTGAATCTGCTCCAAATGATCTTACTATATCTGTGAGACTTGCATTGAACACTATTTTTACTAATGTCTCGCTGCAAAAAGTTAGTTTTATGACATCGTAATACTCTACTGCAAAGTACAATATGTAATCATTTTTTTGTAAGTTGAATTTGTTCAAATTTATCAAGGCATGCAAAGACTTCGAACAGGTTTAACCCAATCCATTATCAACCTGTTATAAGTAATTTGGATGTAATCCAGCAGTTCTACCGTCTTTCACCAGTATGTGGGTGTAGAAACCAGCTGGTCAGTGCGTGGGCTGCCTTGTTTACTGTTTCAGTATGCTGGCACAGTAAAACACTGAGAGTTTTCTTCAATATATCCACTGATTCACCTTGTGTATGTTCTCATTGCCAGCAGCCATTCTCTTGAATTTTGGCTAGGCCTTTGATGACACAGATAGAGCCATTCACATGTGCACTTTAGCACCGTCTGATGATCCTGATTCTGACAACGCATGATCTGCTACTACCGTTACATTTCTATGCATGTAACGTCCTCTAAAAACTACTCTTACTCTTGGGCACATTTGTTAAATGCAGGGTTGGTAATTTTCAAAAACTAGCATGATTTTGAAAGTAGCATTCCCTCAGTGCTCCGTCCACATCCACCCCCTCCCCTCTGTGCTCCCTCAAAAGCCACGCCCTGCACATACATGCACGAGCGCCGTTGCTCTTCAGCTCATCAGCTCATCTCTTGCATTGTGTAGAAACTACGTCTTCTCATGTCTCATTCAGCAGGAAGTAAACTCACAGTATTAAACTCCGTCAAGGGTGACGCGCTTTGGGTGTGGGCTAGTGCATGCAAGGGGTGGACGGGGAGGCGTGATTGGTTCATCAGATTGGTACCTCGTAGTGTAAATTTTTTGAGGTTTTTACAGGCTCATAACTGCTACAGATGACAGATTTTCTTCGTTCCTTTTGCCTTTTGGATTATTAATTTCTGTCAGGACCTAAAGACATTTCAACCAAAATCTTAAAAAAGTGTACCTTGAGAAAATTACCAACCAATGTCTTTAAACACACTTCATCTTGAAGTTGTGCACAACGTAGATTATAAAATTGCTTTGATTCATATTACCGGAAATGCACCTCTTTCCTTGTTGACTGGTTGCCATGGCGGCAGCTTGACAATCAGATAGTCCTGCTTTATTGTCTGTTTTACTTTAAATGGGACAACAGTGTACTAATAAAACGTCATGCTAGTATTGAAAAAGATTCAACTCTAGCAAGTGATAACATGACCTCATAGGGCCATTGTTACAAGGCAATAAAACAAGAGAGAAGTAGGGTCACTAACTGGTAGATTTAAGGTCAGTCCAACTTATTTTTATAACCAGCGGAGTCTCATCCCGGTGGCCATTAGATTGCAGCAGGTATAAGGCACAAAATGACTGTCGAAACAAAAAAGGCAGCATCCTCTTTGGTTGAGACATTGGTAGGTGCACTTCCTACTGTCCCCTATTTACCCCAGTGTTATTAATTATGCAGGGAAAACTTCAAGCAAAGCATTTTAATTGAGACCAAAAATAAAAAAGGTGCATCTTGGCAACACAACTCCCTCCTAAATTGCAAGGATCTCACACTCTCATGTGAAAATAAGGCCTTCATTAGAAGACAATTTTTTCGTATTGCAGAAGATGTGATCATTTTAAGGAGAGTGGGTGGGATATGTAATGCTGTCCAACAGAAGGATACTGTGGTTCACAGGTTTGTAATAAGCAATGCATGGTTGATTAGAAGTGTTGGTAGGGCATAAAAAAACAAGTTATGCAGTTTTTGGAATTTTCCTGTCACAGTCATTGGAAAGATTTCCTCTCTCTTGTCTATATATCTGCCTCTCTCTCTCTTTCTGGGATGGTTAAGAGAATCATCATTTTTTTACCGACTGCCTGCTGATATATTTTTATACAAGAATATTACATAAACCATTCTGCTTTCAAGCATTCAGCAGCCAGAGGGAAGAGAAGGCTGGAAGTTATGACACATACAGGACTTATGTAACACATGAAGCATAAATATCCATATTAAGCAAGCAGCGGGTCAGGAGGTTATCTGTGTCTAAAGGTTGAAATGTATGTTCTTTTCTATATAATGATTTGTTTGTCTTCACAGATCTCTATTTTTAGAAGATTGAAGAACCATATTTCCAAACGGAGTCAACTGAGCATCAGAGCGTGTGGCAGCAAAACTGGCTGAGTGCTTCATGATGGGAAACGTAAGGCTGGCAAGGCAGAGGACTTCCTCAACAGTACATGACATATCACAGCTGCACTCTTTGATAACCCAGTTCTGCATTTGATGGCATCATTCTGCTGTAAAGGAATAAAGAAATCAAGTGACAACTATGAGTCATGTATACTAAGGTGGATACAATTTGAAAGGATTCACTCGCATTAAACCATTATCCAGTTAATGATTTGACTTCAAATCTGTAGCCTGGCATAGGCAGACACATCCCACTTGACTACCCGAGGCCGTTCTTCCATTTTATGGAGGCCTTGCATAGTTGCATGACGACTGGGGAGCAGTCTGGAGGTCAAGATCATCGTCTGCCAGAGTCTGCTCCCCGACGCTCCCAGTCTAAGTCTCCCTCCAAGCCAAGTGAGCAACAGCAAACTGGCTCCCGAAAGCCCCATGGCACGCAACAGCAAAACAAACAGTCCAGAAGACAGCATCATGAACGTAAACGTCTCCGTCACCAGCGGCAGAGCATTGACTCAGAAACTGCACCGGAGCCTAAACATGAGGCAACAAAAGCCACTACAGTTTCATCAGGAGTCCCACCATCCTCAACAGGTGGACCCTCCCAGTCGAAAACAGAAACCCAAGAGGGCACTTCAAAACAGAAACGTGAGCGTAAGCCTCAGAGACCAGGCAAATATGTCTGCACTTATTGCGGCCGTGCATGTGCAAAGCCTAGTGTCCTACAAAAACATATTCGCTCTCACACAGGTGAAAGACCGTATCCATGTGCCCCATGTGGCTTCTCTTTTAAGACAAAGAGTAACCTGTACAAACACCGCAAATCCCATACACACAGGGTTAAGGCAGGCTTGGCTCTTGGGAGCCGAAGTCGCTGGAAGAGCAAGTCACTGAATCAGAAGATGAAACCAAACAGCTATCATCAGCATCTTCCCTTACAGAAAGACAGAGCAGTGTAGCCTCAATCACGAGTCCTGAAGCAGACAGGGCCAAAGAGTGCACTGGAGGAAGCGATGACTCCTACGCTGTTAAAAAGAGACTGGCTCTTCGTCTAAGTAGAGGAAAACAAGGTCCTTGTGACTCATCTGTTGAAAAGACCTCAACTCTAATTTTAGGGAGTAAAGGTAGTACAGAATCAGGCTATTTCTCTCGCTCTGAAAGTACCGATCAGTCACAGGACAGCCCCCCAAACACAAGTGCCAAAAGCTATGCAGAGATCATCCTCGGCAAGTATGGACGTTTTGGTCATCTACAGAGGATGTCTCGGCAACGTAACCAGCAGTCCTCTGGTCAGGAGGACAAAAATATCCCATTCACAGTCCCGAAGAAACAGGTCATTGACCATATCACCAAACTTATCACTATCAATGAGGCAGTGGTGGACACAAGTAAAATTGACAGTGTAAAACCAAGGAGATTTTCACTGTCAAGAAAGAATAGTTCAGAGTCTCAAAAGAGTTCATCCATGAAAGACCCTCTTATTCATAGCCCTAAAGCTGGAGATCTGGGCTACAAAAACAGTGGCTCCATCACCATGGGAGTTCCGTGTGAGAAGTTTCATCATCCGTCTGTTAACGTGGAGCAAACAGCTGGCCAAACATCAAATTCCTCTCTTGGTGCGAAGTCATTCAATGCCCTCTGCAGCAAGTACTTTTGACTCCTCCAGTAGTGACCCAAGCAAACTCTTCCCAAGTCAGTCCTTTGATGAAAGAACTCATGCATCCCGTCGTTATGGGATGCTTAGACGGCAGCCAGCTATTGAAATCCCACTTGGTGCTGAGTTCACTAAAGATGAACAAGAGGCCTCTCATTCGTTTTACCATGACAGCATAACCACTGTGCCTGACCACAAGCAAAGTCATCCGCAACCATATGAGTGTGAAGCCTGTGGGACTGGGTGCAAAGATTGGGAAGGTTACAAGAGACACAAGCAAAGCCCTTGCTTAATACATAATCCCAAAAATGAGGTTGTAATTAGTCAAATGGAGTGCTCCCAGTTATTTAACCATACATTCAAACAGGAACTTCAGCATTGCGCAAGAGAAGAAAAGAGGAAAGTTTTGAATTTGATGACCAGTCTTCTCCTTCATTACCATTTCCTGCCCCCTTGACAGGACAATGTAAAGATGAAGGCAATGTAGCCTATGAGGGCCAAAGAAGACCTACACTGCAGACCTGTTCTGTAATTCAACACACTAGTTCATTTGAAAAACAAGAATCATTGTGCAATGAGAATCAAGGTATAGAGGCAGCAAGAAACTCTCCAGCTAGGGAAGAATATCAACTGGTTCCCCAGGTGCTACCCCAACAACAGATAGCAAAACCGACAACCCGAAAGCTGGTTCGCCAGCCCAGTGTGCAGGTTCCGGAAATACTGGTAACAGAGGATTCCAATATGAACACAGGGGCAGGGAAAGATGCAACTTCCCAAGCAAAACATTCAGAGAAACCTGATGAATTTCAATGGCCTCAGAGAAGCTCCTCACTTGCCCAGCTACCTATTGAAAAGCTTCCTCCAAAAAAGAAGCGCTTACGTCTAGCTGAGGCCGCCCAGTCCTCTGGAGAATCCAGCTTCGAGTCCATCTCCATGCCCCACAGCCCTAGTCAGGACAGTACTGCATCCTATGCATCAAGTCGTTCCACATCCTTTGAAGAGCCAAATAGACCAGACATAGAGATAGCATCAGCAACACCACTGAGGAGATCAAGAGCTCCTCATATGTTGACAGTTCCTGGGGTACATCAGCACAGAGAAATGAGGCGCTCAGCATCTGAGCAGGCACCTCATGACCCACAACCCAATTTCCTAATGGCAGAGTCACGCAGCAAATCCTTTGACTACAGTTGTTTGTCCCCTGAGCGCTCTGCAGTTGGTTGGAGGGACAGAAGAAAATGTCTCCTTATGAGACACACAACTGTTCAAGATCCAGATGAGGAGGAGGAGGAGGAGAAGAAGTGTACTAAAACGAGTCGTAGCCCTGATCATTGCAGCCCTAGAAAATGTTCCCAAGCAAGTTCAACTCCTGTGTACTGCAGTAGGTCCCCTTCATCCCCTTTGTCAGGTGACACAGCCTTGCAAAATCCCGTAAAATTGCAATGCAAAGAGCTGTTCTCTCAATGGAAACTCAGTCAGAATATTCAGTTGACAGGCAACACAGAACACTCTCTTGCCAAGTACCCATCTGTAGACCCTGTAAAAGAAGAGGATATCCATGCAGGGGATCCCCCTCCCCAATTACCACATCTCTATCCTAAACATGGACCATCTGGGGCAGCTAGAGCTCGCTATCTTCCCTTATCTACAGGGCTGAAGCTAGAGATTCCTTTACTCCATGATGATTACTCAGAAGTTCAAGTAAGCCACTCCAACATCCAGAACTCTGTCCCTCAAATCACTTCCTGTCTAGAATTACTGAGGCCAGTCACATCTCCAGCAGTAGCAGTGCGTCTCCAAACAGACACCCTCACCCTAGCATGTGCCATATACACTACATTGTCTCAGTCCAAGTCCTCCAGGTCCCAAGAGAAGGTTGATTCTCTTCCACAGACTATGGTTATCCCTACAGCTGAATACAGAGACAGTAGATACATAAGTTCTGGCCTCCATTTCTGGTCTGATGATGGCCTGAGGATATCAGGCTCAGGAGGCAATAAGCGCATGCTTTCCCCTTCAAACAGTATAGAGATCCCTCCTGAGTCACAGCAGCAGCAGAAACGGGTAAAAGAAGAAGAGGAGAGGGAGGTGGGATTTGTTGATAAGGCATTGGTGGAACCATGCAATCAGGAACTCAAACGGGAAGTTCAGTCATGTCTAGCTAGTGTTTGTCCACCCATCACACATGTTGGACCCACATTCCCCAGTCTGCTATCCAGCACCTGTAATAGCTGGTGTTATTTGAACTACATTAAACCAAACCCATCTACTTTGGATGAACACAAGCCCTCAGTGTATTCATCATGGTCCACTAGCAGCTATGACCCCAACCCACCCGGCCTCTCCAGCAAGACGGCTCTCTCTCTGCTGCACAGTAAACAGAGGCTCAGCCCCACCATCTACACTACTTCACCCATGTCAGTCAGGAGGACAGAGTCAGTGGAGCAAGAGGACAACAAAAGACCATGCTCTACTGAGGTAATTGCATCCCTGACATTGATCACAATTGTCTTTAAATTTATTAGATAGCACTTTGTATGTAAACTGAGATTTGGATCTTATGAGACCTATCAAATTTAGAAGGGCACAGAAGTCTGAAGCTGTGTTCAGGCCAAAAGCAAGGACATTTTCAGCATGGAGAAAGTCATTACCTGTTGTTGCAAATAATCACAGGGTGATGCACATCAGGATTGTACAAACATTTTAGTTATTTTCAGTTGAAAATATTCGACCTTAAAAGGACATTTGAGTGACCCTATTTTTCAATCGTCCGTCAGATTTCCCATCTGACCATTGTTCAAAATTAATTTTACATTTTGGAGAATATGCATCATAATGTAGCTATTTCTATATTTGACCATTTGATTGCAATTTAATCCCAGCAGAAACGTTGAATAAGGGTTCATACCACTATAGGACAACTGAAGTGTTACTTGCTATACCATAAAGCTGCGCCCACAAGAGGCAGGTGGACAGGAACTCCAAATCAAACTGTCAGTAGTTGGTGCCAGTAGGTGGAAGTAGCAGTTAATCCATACACAATTCTTGTGGAAGCAGTAAAACTAACCATCTGTGGGAACCTCTGGCTGCTGTTATCAACCAAGAAACATGGATGATGTTAGGATTTCCAACCTACCTAAAGGGATTTTTTTTTTCTGTTCAACCAACCAATAAACATGATTTGGTCAAAATAGCATGATTAACAGCAGGCAAAAATGTACTTTATTTTTTGGTCTGAGCACAACATGAAAGACGGTACATGACATGCAATAAAGTTAGTGTAAAAAAAAAAAAAAGAGAAACCATATATGATTTTTACCCAAAGTTAAATTTGATTCTGGGGCCCCTTGGCATGATTTACCTCCTCACCAGATTAGCGAAGTAAGCCTATTTTTGCCTTGTGTTCCTGTGTCATGATGACAGAGGGTACGGCATAAGTTGGGTTTGTATCACAGGATTGTATCTTCACCATTCTTATGGTTGCCTCAATACACTGAAAGGCAGAAAAGATTATTGTGCTAACTTCAGCAGGGCTTATGTACTTTTCTATTAAACCAAACGTTCAATGAGAATTCCCAATTTCTGTCTCCCTGGGCATGCTGGAGCAGGGTTGGTGAATTTGCCCATGTCTCTTTCGAGTGTAGGTTTACAACAGCCAGTCGTACTGCGGAGACCAGGAGGGATCGAGGAAGGGACAGCGGTCAGCGGGTGACATCAGGTCAAACAGAAAAGAGGAGAAGGACAAAGAGACGAATGAGGAGGAAGAACCCTCATGCTCCAGAGAAAATAAACCTTGTGATGTGTGGATCTCTAAGAGAGAGTGAGTATAAACTCATAACTTCTCAGCACTGAGTTGTATAAGAACCAAAATAATTATCTTTATCCTTTAGCCTTTTGCCCAAATCTGATCATCTTTCAAAACTTTCAATTTTTACTATTTTTGTCTCGCATCACATATTGTGATAAGTTGTGGAATCTGTTGTCTATCCGCGTTGTTGGAAGGGCCAAGGGTTGGCTGCCTGCACCAACAGAGCCCTTCTGTTAAGGGGCTGAAGCCAGGAAACTACCTAGCTTCCTTTGCGCCTGCAGAGATTCATTAACACCAACCAGCACCACCATTCAAATGGAGCAGCAAGCAGGTTTCATTCCCTTACACTGACAGCAATGGAATGTGTAAAAAAAACCACTATGATCATACATAATCATCAAAAGGAGCCTTTCACTCTAAATTGAATTATGGAGAAAGAAAAAAAAAACTACAAAAGTATTACTGGTGTCTGAAAATATGCAGACAAAACATGTAAAGAATATCTGAAAATGATTGAATTTGTAGTCAGTTAAACCGGTGTGCACTGTCCTTTTTTATTAAGAATGAAGTATTCTTGTGGAGGCTCCAGGATAGCTACACATTTATGAAACAACAGACAAGTGTCCATATGAAAATTAAAACAAGAGATGTTAACTGTCTTCATTCCCCTGCTTATTCTGGTATTGTAAAGGTCCATTCTTTAAGAAGGATTGGGATTGAAAGGCTGTAATTATTGAGGGTCTGGATCTGCATTTTTCAAAACCCTAAAATGAATAACATTTGATCTTATAGATACTCCTATAACACAACGCTATATCTTGAGTCACATAATTTTAATCAAATCACTGGTGCAAAAACATACATCCATTGTCTAATAAGGTTTAGAATAAAATAAAATTAGGTATTTAATTATCCAGAGAAGAACTCTAATTGCGTAAGGATGCCTAAAGTTTGGCTACATTTTACCAACGCAAAAGATAAGGAGGGGGGCAACATAACTTCTCGCAAGGGGAGAAGCTTGTCAGCATTGTGCATCAAATTCAAACAGAATGCAGCACCTTTAACTGTTTCTGGATTGATAAAAAAAACGTAGTGAACTCCGTCAGCTGCCACTGAAGGACATTCACCCTCCTCCTCGACTCAAAGCAGCTGTTGAACGCACACCAAAACTTTGAAGCAATCCAGTGTTGAAACCAGAGTTGAAATCGGCACGATGAGAGCTAGTGAGCTAACCAAAAGGAGGTGACATAAGGATCCATTATCATGTGTGTTGGAAACTCTTCAGCTGCTATTTATCTTAAAAAGTTTAATTCTGATGGTTAATACTTTGAATGCTGATGTTTTTTTTTTGCTGAAGAGAACCAGTTTGTAGATCGGTCTTTTAGGCAAAGGCAAATAAAAACATCATTATGATGTGTTCAAGTGCAACCCGAAGAAAATGAAAAAGTCAGATTTTGATGAGAAACTTGATTAAATACAGTTTATTTGGAGGATAGATTTGTGGGTTTCCAAGCAATATAAAACAGATAAAACATACCGTTGTCTCAGTGGTATCAGTAAGAGTATAATAATGATGGTGTCAATATCATAAAAAATATATGATACCCATCAATATTCTTATTCACTGTAAATGGACATGATGTCAAATGTGTAAAATTATACTTCAAAGTTGATTTAATACTTACAGTGTGTTTAGCTTTATTATTCTGTGCTACACAGACTTAGTGGATATCTTCCAAAGAACACTGTCTGTGTTATTAAATTACCACTTTATGTTATTATCCTTCCCAAAGGCTGCCTATACGGGGGGGGTAAAGGGGAAAGCTTTCTGGGGCCCAGTCACATGGGTCACCTACAAAAAAATGCTCCCATGACCTATTACAGCAACAAAAACACCCATTTTATTTAGTATTGCCCTCAATTTGTAGCATGTTTCAAAATGTAAACCCCCATTTTCTTAAAATGATGTGATATTCTGTTATGGATGTAAGTGGGCCCAGTGAACTTAAGTGTTATGCAAGTTATGTCGGAATAAGTTTGTCCATTCCAGGACCTGCACAAAGTGAGGATACCAGGAAAGAAAGAAGAAGATAAGAAGGGAGCTGGCCAGGGCATTTGACCCCCCCCCCCAGCTCCAAAGGCTGATGGGAGCCTGGCAGAGGGAGCTAATGTTGGCCAGGAGGCTATCGCTAACATTACTGATTGCTGATTAACATTACAGCGATTTATTCTAATTTGCTTGTTCATTTTAGGATAAACGTGATGTGACTTGTATAGGGTGAAACAATAATTAGAGATCAAGGAGTCATATGAACCATGCTAAACTGACAGCAACAGCAATAACTGACCCTCGTGATTAGTAAAAAAGAAGTTAGCAAACATGTTAAGTAAATGTGTCTCCCTTACTTCTCAAATTAATTCAATGTGAGGTTAGACCAGACACACACAGTACTTTCGATGCCCATCAGTAATAAACACCGCTGCGATGAGACGCAGGAGAGTGCAGAGAGGTGCCATCTGTGCGTCTCTTTTTGGTTTGGGAGTGTGTCTGTGAACAAATCCCTGTTGTGACTCATGTTGACGCTCCTCACAGTCGTCCTAAAGGAGTGAGTCATCCTCACGCCTGCTCGCTCTCTCCTCTCTGTCTGAACAGTCTGTCTGAGGGACAAAAGGACAGAACTGATGCAGCGGCGTCGTCGAACATTGCCTTCTTTTCTTGTCGGCTGAGGAAAGGCAAGGGCCACCAGACTTAAAGCTCTGGTGTGAACACAAGCTCGTGAAAGGCTTCAGCCACTGTAAAGTGTAAATGCATAAGGGCAAAGTGTTCCTCTTTCATTAACCCGAAAGTTTTTAGAGACCATTAAAGCCCCCATTTACGATACCTGCCCAGTTTATACAGCCGCGAAGCCTGTAGTGAAAATAGCAGAAAAAACAGAAGATTAAAATCAGAACGATTGTTTGTCATTGGATTTGTTTTCATTTAGTGTTTTTTCATGCGTATTTGGAGCAGCAGCTGGTCAGGTTCAGGGTTTCCCTCCCTCTCTTGCCTGTTTTTATTGGCTGGCTGCAGCAAACCCCCGGACCTTGGGCTACATTGCAGGCTCCCCCTTGTTTAGACTTGGAGGTGGTGTGAGCTGTGATGGGGTTATAAGGCAGCGGGGTGTGGGTTGAGAAGAGTGGGGGGGGTTCTGGTTTTGGCTTATGAAAGCTGCTCTGTGTAAGTTGAAGTGGGCGCCTTGCTGAGGGACCTTCAGTGTACATGGAGGGGTGGACCCCGGGCACAGCTGCCACAGTATGAGCGCCCTGTGTAGCAGAGGCCAAACAGATAGCATACTCACACTGGATAAATACAAGCACTGAAAGCTGCTTACAGGTGCTAGAGGGCCTACGGCCTGTCTGTCAGCTCCAGTTACACTCTTATTGATTGTGACCATCATCCAGAGAGCAGCAGCATCAATAGACAAGTGACAGGGCAACGCTCTGAGGAGGAAACTAAGACCTCTTGCTGTCTTCACACCCACAGATCAAATGAGAAGCATGCTACCGGTCAAGGTGGAGGTGGAGGCAGAGCCAATGTGATGATTGTGTTCTGCAAAAGGGAACCCACGGCGTCACACAATCATCATCATCATCATCATCATACACCTGCAAACGCTGTAAAGTTTCTCTGACAGCCAAAGGTAAGGAGAGACGTGTCTTTCATGTGCCAAATCCTGACGATGTTTGCATTCATGTCATCCCCCACCTCCTCTCCCCACAAATCCTGTCCCTCTAAAAATGCCTGTCAAATAAAAGCCCCCCCCCCATGTCTACAGCCATTACAAAGATTTTCAAAGTAAAACTATTACAACATGTTGATTAAACATGATTTTTTTAGCAGAATTCTGCTCCTGTCATAAGATTAGTTACACATTTAAACACATATTAACAGCGATTATCGAATCTTATCCCACATATATAGTGGATGAAATGATGTTAATGTGTTGTGTCAAAGAGCACAGAAAAAAAATCATCATGAATGAAAAAAAGAAACGTAGGAGCGATGTATCATCAGTTATACAATACAAGTGTAGTCTTCAGAGGAAGCCTCATGGAACACCTGAGACTTCTTTTACATTTCTGTCTTCTTCCCCTCACTTTTTAAAATCAAATAGACTTCATCTTCACGGTGAACAAATTCAATTGTGATTGCATAACTTTGGATACTTGACCGTTTACAGCAGCCAAAAGGTTAATCGAATATGAATGTTTAACAAATATGGTTTCTCTAATGTTTATTTCATACTTTTTTTGAAATCGTTATTATAAAACTGTCTTGCCATGATGAATGACTAATATTTCTCTACTTCCCTCCCCTTAAGTATTCAGAAGTACCCCGAGAGTTGACCCTATGCCCTTTTGAGAAACACATTACATGACTATCTGTTTGTTGAATGTTAACTTCAGAAATATGAGCAAAAAAAAGGAAAATGTTTTTAAAGACATTTTTGTCTCTCTTAGGAATCTTGGATGAATCTTCAGTCCAGCCACAAACCCAAAAAGAGCCAAAGCTCTCCGACTCAGGGCAAAGTGGACAGAATGTGGATGACGATGCAAAAAACACAGACTGCAGATGTGAAGACAATGGGAGCCGGGTGTCTGAAGGCCTTCACACGGCTCCCTCTGAAAGAGAGAAACCTCACACAGACCTCCAGCTGATGGAGCCTGAACCCCGCAAAGCCGTCCCACCTCCCCCCAAGGATTCCTCCGAGAAGAGCTCGGCCAGCGCCAGGAGGGCCCTGTTTGCCCGCAGACGTCTCGATGCTTCGGCATCAACATCCTCTGGAGGCTCCCAATCTCCGAGTACTCAACCCCTGATTCCAGCCAAGGAGCCGTCTCCGCCTCGCAGCCCGTCACCCAGGCCTCTCCAGGACCCCCTTCCTTCTTCCTCCCTCTCCCCATCCAGTTGTCATGTCTCATTCTCCACTTTGAAACCGGTCTCACCAGTTACAGGTCTTTCTCCCATAATAGTTCAGTCCCACGGTCCTGAATCCTCTGGGCCACCAGGTTCTCTGCCGAACACCTCTGCTCGATGTTACGGCTTTCTTCACCCAAGAGGTCGACCGTCTACAACAAGACTGGTGAGTCACTTCAGCTTCTGCTGCAAGAAAACAAGGTGACATAACATCTTTCCCGGCATCTTCATCTTGCATAACTGTAACTGTTGTTTTTTTTTTTTATCTCAGTATGAATCTGTTATGGTGCCCTGTTTGTGTCGCGTTTATAATTAACGCTGGTGACAAAAAACAAAACCTTGCTTTTGTTCAAACCACAGTCTTCCATCACCTGTGACTTCATCCACATTTGTTAGTTTAGCCTACAGTTTTAAATACATCAGCGTTTTGCCCACAGAGCTAATCTTGTGGCGCTCAGTTAAATCCCAGTAAGTCAACACGTAGAACAAATATAGATAGGATGGTACATATGAGGTTATTTTAAAGTTGTACATTTATTGGAAAAGGAAGGAAAAGGCAACTCTCTGGTTTTATATCTCAAACCGAGCCTGCAGCTCTGGAACCTTAAAATAATGCAGGAGAGATCCCAAAAAGGCACAATGTGTTTTTCCCTGGCCAGCCGCTGATAAACTGAGAAGCTGGCCCATCGTTAAACACCAACGACCTGAACCACATGTCGACATGAACTCCGTGGTTAAACGTCTTACTTCACACTAATAAAACATAAAAACATGTCTACTTGAAACCTGTGGTTATGTTATGGTGTAACCTCACCACTTCCGCCTCATACTAAAATAGGTCTCTGAGGGGGGAGATACTAATTCACATATTCTTCAGGGTTTGTTTTCCACGCTTTTTAAAAAAAAAAAAAATTTTTTACATGTAATCGAGACGCCTACGAGCTAAATTTATATGCCTCAATATTTAATCTATACAGAAATGATCTTCTATGAATTGCACCTGTGTATACAATGATTTGTAAATACACCTTTTAGAAGTGATGTAGTTTTTCTTGTACTTTATTTGAAAGCACAGATTTTAAATTACTGTGTGTTTGTTTGTTTTTAAGGTTTATTCTTTTAGCTTTAAGCCTTTATTTGATAGGTGAGTGGATAGAGTAGGAAATTGGGGAGCGAGTGTGGGGAAGATATTTTGGTAAAGGAGCCACAGGTCGGTCTTGAACTCGGGCCTCCCGCTTGAAGAACGCTTAATGGCTTTAAAAATGGGGCGGCGACACTTACTGTAACTCCAAGTTGCTCCCACTGCTTTGGCCGTCGCGTTTTAAAGTATGTGAATGGGATTAGTTACTTCTGATGGTCTAACTACGTATCAGCCTCTGCCATCAGTGTGTGAATGTGTAGGTGTGAGCTGCGGTGTAAAAGCACTTTGAGTAGTCAGAAGACTAGAGAAGCACTAAGATAAGATAATCCTTTATTTATCCCACAATGGGGAAATTGACATTGTTACAGCAGCAAAGAGCAAAGATTGCAGACAAAAAGTGAACGCTATGCAAACTCAAGTCCATTTACCATTCACCAAAAACATTTCTGTGTTGAAGAATACGTAGACCATGAACTCACTTGGAGGTAATATGTTACTGAGGTAATAAGTCAAGTGAGAAGTGGGGTCATTTTTTACGCTGGCTTCTTTTTACGACCTGTGGAATTTTAAGACCGTAAGAGAATTAAGAGAATCACAGGACTGAAAGGAAAACTCAATGTTCTCCTGTGTTTAGGATTCAGGCTTCAGTGCTGCCACTCAGCAGAATCACAGACTCTTGTTTTCAAAGAGAACAAAGTTATGAATGATGGAACTGTTTCTCGGTACAGCCCCCCTGCCTGTGACATAACGTTACACAATGACACACCTACATACAGAGGCAGACAAAGGACTCTAATCATATAATATCACATCATTACTCCAAATATTCCCGGTGTTATCACTTAACGTTGTTAAGAGCATGTCTTTATGCCGTCTCATTGTACGTCCCCAGAAAAAATCGACCTTTTGAAGTAGATTACTCAGCAACAAGGTCAAGTAATGTTGAGTCATTGCTTTTGATCCACAGCATCAACAGCGACAGTAATTGGTTGTCACCAATGGCACTTAGTAGGTTAGGTTGGCACTTAGTACCTGTATACTTCTCATTCTGCTGGTGACCTACTTTCCATTCAAGGTTTATTGTGTCTTGTTTCTTTTTGTAGTCTATGGATGAGGTCGGTCTGACCCACATCACCCTGCATCCCACTCGGCCTCGGGGAGCCCGCAACCTCCTGAGTCACCTCCCTCTGCACTCCCAGCAGCCGAGCAGGGCCCCGAGCCTCCTCATTCCCATCGGTGGGATTCACATGATTCAGCCCAGGTCCCCCCTCCCTATGTACAGCCTGGTGAGCAGCCCCCCAGCAGTCCTAAGGAACCCTGCAGGGACAGGGACATCCTGGAGACTAAGTGACACTCCAAAGGGGAGGTTTTCTCTGCTGGAGCGACAGGATACTCTCAAAGAGACGTCGCCGGACCCCGAGGCGTTAGAGGGAACGTCCAGGAGCAGCTTATCTGACACTTTACTACCCAGTCAAAGAAAGAGTCAGGGATGCTTCAGCGTCCAAAAACAAAAAAGTGCCGGGACTGAGACGAGGCTTCCTGAGGTAGACGCAGACGCACATTTTACAGACAGGTGTGTTTACCGCAAGCCCGCCGTAGGCCAAATAAAGGCTCCTTCCTCCCAAACACAACCGTGAAAAGGAGGGAGAGTCTGAAGGGACAGTGCAAAAGATGGAAGTCTAAAAACCCAGAGTCTGTTGTTAAAACACAGCACCGGTTTGACGGCCGAGGATTTAAAAAAAAAAATAATAAGGCAAGAGCACTTCAGCACCGCTTCTGAATGACGCTGTTATGTAATTATATGAATAATATATACAGACACTATGTTAGATATGCAGTATGTTTTGTAAGTCTTTTTTTACCCTCTTGTTTGATGTCATCGGTGTTAATTTATTTATGTGCTATTATGCAAGTTCTGTACAATATGCAAGAGCAGCTGGAATGAAAATAGACAAAGTTTGAATCAGTTCCCTTCTTATCTCCTTGGACAGCTCGAATATACTATTGCTGTGTAAATGTACTGTATTACCAAAATGAATATAGAAAGGTACTACACATATTTATTCACCCCCTACCAGTATTTTGAAGTGCAATTTTATGTGGAGATTCGTGGTTTGAAATGTCATTTTTTTTGAAAAGGCTGTGATGAATATTATTTGTCAGTTCTTTGTTTTTTTCTTTGTTGTCGTCGTCGTTCCTTGTTTGTGTTCAAAGAAGCAGGGTTACGATCGCCTCCTTTTCTAACGTCTCTCGAGGGAAAGAAGTTTCAGATCAACACATTTGCAGTGCACTGACAAAGAAAAAAAAAAAAAAGTTTGATATCCAGAGGAAACCTGTTTGACGTACATGGTAGCTACGGTGCCGTTTTTTTCATATACAGATTACATGTATTTTTGTGTTGGTGCTTTTCTAAATGATACAATCACTCTGTCATTTTCATGTTTTACCATTAAACTTCTCATTTTTACAGATTTTTATTAAAACCGTGTTACTTGTGTGGTTTGTTTCCGTCATTTTCTTCAGTGAATCACACTTTTTACATTTTTAAAGTATTGAATGGACATGAATGTCAAATGGTAAATGGACTTGAGCTTATATAGCTCTTTTCTAGTCTTCTGATGGCTCAAAGCGCTTTTACACTGCAGGTCACACCTTCACATTCACACACTGATGGTAGAGGCTGCTATGTAAAGTGACCATCAGTATTTGATAATCACATTCATACACAACCAACAAAGCAGCAGGAGCAACTTAGGGTTAAGTGTCTTCCAAGGACACATCGGACATGTTCTTGCAGGAGCTGGGCCTTGAACCCCCAACCCTTCTGGTTGAGAGACAACTGACTCCTCCACTGGGCCACAGCCGCCCTGTGAATGAATGGCTCTTTTGGAGGTAGGTAAACCACATCTCAAGAATTTGAAAGCTGGCAAAAAGTAAAAAAGATCCAGTGCTTCCTGGCGCTGTTGTGGGGAGACTATAGTCCTCCAGGCGGGCGGCCCGGGTACGGGTCCGACCTGCGGCTCATTTCCTGCACGTCATTTCCCAATCTCTCCCATTTCTTGCTCTATCCACTGTCCTATCAAATAAAATAAAAAAGGCAAAAACCCACAAAATAAATAAATAAATCAACCAATTCAATTCAAATTCAACCAATTTGCCAACAAACAGATCAAAATCAAAGTTTTGACAATTGAAATAGACCTATGTTATAATGTGAGACTTGAGTTTGATAAAAATAAATATAGAAGAAATGTGAAGTATTTGATCTGTAGCTAATGGGTCAGCTCACCCAAGTTAACCATAGTGTTATACTATGTCAGAAGTTAAAGTCACTTTTTAGCTCGTCATCTTTCTGTCATCGACAACTCAAAACAAAGATGAATTAATTACATTTTGTCTCTGATGATCATTCTTTTTGCCTCTCTGGCTCACATCGGCCTCTTACACAACACCAGGAAGTCTTTGTATTGATGCCAAACTCGGCTATTTGAAATAATGTCAATATTTACCACCCAAAGAGTGTTCTGCTATGAATATAATATCCACATCAGTTTATAACATAGTGCTGCTGGTATTAGGTACACAGTTGGTAAACCCAGACTTTAAAAACACAAATGTTTTAACACCTTTTTTTTTTTTATTTAGTTTAACTGAGGTTTAAAGATCCTATTTTAGCAAATTTAAAAACGTCCTTTTTTATGCATTTCTAGAGTAACAACAGTATAACAGTTCTGCTTCTCTACTTTAAAAAAGTATTTTTCCTGTCTCTTTTCTTGCTTTTCACTTTTTTCCTTCACAATACCAGGCACAACCTTTGTCCTTTGTTTTTTTTTTTAGCTAATTCAAGGTGTAAAGGAACACCGTTTTGTTTCACTGAGAGCGGCAGAAACATTGATGATGATTGTGGCACCACCTAGTGGCTATTATAAGAAGTGCACTCTATGTTAAAAATTCCACTTCTCAGAGGAGATAACTATCATTTTTCTTGATATTATTATCCCCATGGCCTAATTTTATTTTTTTCCTTTGGTATTTCACATTTTCTCCTCTGTGTCTATTATGGCAAAATTCAGCTTGTCTTTGATTCCCTGGACTGGACTGACGGTGTCACATATAACCACTAGGTGGCGGCAGTAAGCAACTTTGAGCCCATTTTGTTGCCTGTTTACAGAAAGAGATGACATCATACACTGGAGGTGCTGGCCTGAATACTGAAACCTTCCCCTTTTAAATGATATGACACACATAACGAGAGCAGGAATAATCAGGTAGCCACAAAGAGAAGAGGGCAAGATGATTCAGAAAATCCCCACGGTCAACAGGGGTGTGAAGAATGGAGAGATATTTTAGATATGTAGATATGAGTCACTTGTAAGGTTTTCCTTCTTTTCTCAGCAGTCTACCGATACACTCCCTGTATCTGACGCACGGGTCTCCACAGCAACACAAACAACAAGAGCTTAAGGATGTGACTTCAGTAACCGAATAAGGTCCAAACAGCCCATCTCTGAACCAGCAGAACGACCAAACACACGGTAACACAGACAGTAACCACAACACATGAACTTCAGTTCTTTCATTTCCTAAACTACTAAACTAAGACGCAATCTTAAGTGTAAGTGAGCTAGAGATGACATCTTTTCCAATGAAACATGATTTTTTTCCAAAATTTCCCTTAGTTTGCTTGATGCCACCGCGACAAGACCTCCGGTAAGAAAAAGAAAAGTGATGGATGGATGATGATCATAAAAAAAAATCAACCCCTGCACAGTGTAAGCCAATGAAGACGAGCTATTCAGACCAAATTTGTTTTGACACTCAAGGAACTGGAGGGTTTTTTCGTCTTGCATTGGCTTCAACACAGCAGGTTGATTGCAGCCTGTCAGTGGAGGGAGCCCCACATGTTCTGGCTTCACTTTTGGGGTTCTTTCATGTCGTCCATTTTTTTTTATCCACTTTACGGTTTAGATATGAATCCAAAGATGGCCATTGCAAACATGTGCAGCTGACACCCTCATCAACCTCCTCGTCATATGTTTTGAAGTTTCGATCTCTGAATTTGACTCGCTGGCTTTGATGTTGCTATCAAAAGCCTCTATCTACCTTTGCCAATATTCTTCACCTCAGTCATATCGGGGTAGTGTTAAGTGTGTTGTTTGAAAAATGTGAGCCACCGTCACATGCTCATCTCTCAAATTCCATTCCATTTGCTAATAAAGTTGATCTTCGTAAGTGCTGCTGGAGCTTTTTGACCTCTTTAAGCCTTTCTCACGCTCCATGCACCTTGGTAGTTGGTGAAGTTGTGCCAGAAAATCCTCTGCTTCCAAAGAAAAGTTCAAATGTCTATAGCCACTGATGAAAAGACCTTCAGAAGCGGTTCAAAGGGTCTAATTTAAAGTTTGTTTAGTATGTTCTGTCAGTATGTTCAGACCAGATTTCAACAGTCCGGTTTTGTCATTAGAGCCATTCCTCATTCAAGCCATACCTTCACACACATATTAACAAAGTCGCGTTTTAAGGCAAAAATAGCTGCTACACAATGACACAAAGGCAAATTGTTGGCGCATACAGATTTAAAAAAAAAAAAAAACACCCTTTAGTGTGCTTTTTGTTTTTTGTGCAAAAGGTTACAGAAGAGGAGATTCTGGAGACAACAGTTGCTGCTGTGACGGTGCTTTGCTTCAGAACCTGCCGCTGTCCACTGCCTGCAGTGCTGATCCCGCCCTGTCATGTATATGTTTGTGTTCATCATTGATTGTCATTGGGTTATAAAAATAAAATGTAGGAATAATCTACATCTTGTGGGCCCAATATTATTATTGGCCCAGCAAGATTATTGGCTCGAGGTCCGCCAGTTGCCGACCCCCTGTTCTATGTAGTGGTACCAAAGCTTCACATAAAGGGCTGGTCCCACCAGAGGGTGTCAGATGGGGGTGGTCCTTTATGACATGTTGCACAAGATCAATCAAATATCCTCTGCAACAAAATCCCATCAGCGAACGCCATACGATTTTAGGGTGAGCCGCATTTGTGAACACGATGAGACAAATTTCACACTGGGGCTCCGGCCTGCCAGGCTTGAGAAAGATTGATGAGCTCCTTTTCTTGTTAAGTTAGATTATATCCACAAGTCAACCTTTCAAATGACTAGTTTATTTGCGTTATACAGGTCTGTTTATGTTGCAATTCCATTTTCGAACCGTCCTTTCAATAAAAGGGAGTATTTAAAAATTTATAAATTTGAGTTTTTCAAAATACAGGATTCAAAAATTGCAAAAATACATGACAATGACATGTCAATCTTGAGAAGGCTTTCCCTGTAAATTGTAGAGTTTGGCTATGACAGGATGATATTGTAATTCAGATGGTATTTAGCTGGCCAGGCGGCAAGACCCTGTCAGGTGTGAGCTACATGTCTAAAGCAGACGCCATAGTGATGCAGTACCAGTTTACTTGATCTGTGTGTCCTGTATGATTCAGCTTGTTTCTGTGTTATTGTGTCACAAATATGTGACTGTCACGTCAGAGGAATTTTAAATGATTCTTCAATCACGTCTCCGCTTGTTTGTTTGTCATGGTTGCTGCCTCACATTCCTCTTGTCGCCCTCAGCAGCAGCCGGAAGTGGGGATTAGATAAGAGCACATTTTTTTACACTATGGGTGCAGAATCATTGAAAGCAGCAGAGGAAACAGAAAGAGGGAAAGGGGAAATGAGGGGGGGGTTGGGGGGGATGACCCTCAGATAGAGCCCATTCCTCAAATGGACAAATATTTGCTTTTTTTCTTTGTCTTCATTGCAACAAATAGTTGTTAAGATGCATGTCTCTGGTTTCATGGTGACATCCTTTTTATCAACTCGCCCATGTGTTCATCGTCATAAAACAAGACAGCACACACACACACACACACACACACACACACACGTACTGTATGTTTTTTCCGGCCTCATTCTGCAACTCTTTCCACCGTCTGGATTTCCGCTGGAGTGCTGATGTAAAATTCCTCGACATTTGCAGGATTTTCCTTTGATGGCTGCAGCTTAACAATGGCCTGAAGTTTAACAATTGCGCTTCTTCCTGTTTTCTATTCGGCTTCTACGTCTGTTGGAAATCAAACCATTTATGGTAAATAGTATGGGAAACTATTACATTCTTTTAAATACCTGAAGCATGACCAACAAAAACATCTACCCAAATGTCAGAGATCCAGAGACAGTAAGTCCACCAGTCTGCTTTTGCATGGCAAGCAATGCTCTCTTCCATTAATGATGAAACTATCAAGCATTCATGATGTGGTCAGGATATTCAATATTATAACTTATGATATATAGCGTGGTTCTTTCTGGCAGATTGGCAGATGAGAAAACCTCGACTCACACAGGAAAGTTCAAATATGTTTGACTGAAGAAGGAGTTTGGTGTGAATTATGCACGAGTAATGCCTCCATCTTTCCTTTTAAAATGAAAATTAGGTTACAGCACCTTCACATTTGGCGATTAAGCATACTGTATAGGGAGAGGACCAAAATGCAAACTGAAGGAACAAATTGCCACTTAAGGTTTCACCAAACTTAAAACAATCTGTTGCAAATGATTTAAAGAATGATCTCATGTTTATGGTCAGAGGCGCTGCTTCTCAACAATCAAGATGGGCAATTGATTGGGACCCCAGGCCAGTAAGGAGGGCCCCCCCGAAGGCCGACAAACTTGAAACTGCAGCGATAGAATTGACAGTAGGAAACCTCCCTAATGGAGCGCCATCTGACAGAATTCACTCTCACGTAATATTCCTGTATTCCTGTGAGAACCATAGTTAATAAAAGTCACTGGAGGAAAATGAGGATTATCTGTCTGGGAGTGAAAAAGAAAGAAGAAGAGTGTCAGGACACTGGCAGACACAATGGTAGTCGGAGAGAGGCCCCCCAATTCAATTTTACCGAGGGCCTCAAATGACTCTAGAATCGCCGCTGTTTATGGTACAAGAAAGGGAAGGCTTAGCCCTGGTAGCACGTTTACACCAGCTGATGCATTAAATAGTTATAAAACTGTATTTCACAGTTTATATATTTTAATTTGCTTCAGACTTATCCATGGAGTCAATGGAATAATTGATGCTTAATTATCATCTTATGTAAATAACGTATTTGTCTACATTTCATGAGTTTCATTTCCAAGTTCATTCAGTTCCATTCTTCCCTTTTCATCCTGATATCAAATGCTTCAGTAGATTGTTCTGATTAAATGTAACAGTGTGTTTTAACTTGATAATTCATTCAATAATAATAAGAGCAAGAAGAGCTTCAGGGAGTTTGTATGACACACTTTAACATGACGCAGTGGCTGTGTGGGCAGACGGGCCGTGGTCAGAGCCGCTGTTTGTTTTGTTTTTCACTGGAGAGATAGGCTGTGTAAACTGACAGACCGTGTGTGTGTGTGTGTGTGTGTGTGTGTGGGTTTGCTAAGAGCTGATGTGGCAGGCGGCTGCCTATCTTTTAACGCAGTTCAAAGCATGTTGAACGTCGAGATGCTGTTGGTGTGACAGCATAGGGGCGTGTAGGCGACGATCGTGCCATGACCTCATCCTGTTGCGCGGGGTGCCGACAGTGCTCCTTGACTTCATGGCACTCGTATCTGTCCTGTGGCACATGCAACCCCACGCTGTCTGTCCGCTCATCTCTTCCTCTGCGGGCTCCAGCCTCATCCTGCATTCCTGTCGTTTCTGGAAACATTTTTTGGAGCGAACACAGAGCGAGTCACGGCCTCACTTGACTTCCTGTCTGCCACAATCATCTGCAGCCACTAGTTAATAAGAGTATCCTCACTGTTCTGCATGACAGACTGAAACCTGCTGCCTTTGCAGCCTTATATGGTTGAAAGATCACAAACTATTTTTCTGGATAAACGTTATATTATTCATTTTTAATACTTAGTTGCATAAACACATTTCCCCATTTGATAGTGTCCCGTTATTTTATGGTGTCTGAGTTTTAAAAGTTGAACGATAATGAGAGAAAAAGGGATCACTATCACTATCAGTTTTTTTTATTTATTTTTTTATCTCTAGCTCAACTAACTTTGCAATGTCAACAACAAACCATTAAAGACAAGTTCATAGACGTTCAGAGATAATGTTAAAGCTCGCAGGGAGCAGGTAAGCTAGTAATATAGCTCAGTGCTAACTAGCTACATTAATAATCTCTCACCAAGTTCGGGTTCCCTAAGAATGTTTGCAACCTCGGGGTCATTTGTGACTCGGACCCAGAGGTGCTGTTTGCTAACACGCAAGGCCGGCAACTCATTGGGGCCCCAGGCCATTTGGGGGCCCCCAGTGGCTGACAAACGTGAAGCCAAAGCAGTGGCTGACAGCACTCCCTCTGGTTGCCCTGCGAAGCGTGGCATGCATTATTTCTGTGGAAACCAAAGTCTGTCAATGAAAGTCACTGAAGGAAAATGAAGAAGAATGATCTGTCTGGCAGTGTAAAAGAAAGAAGAAGGAAAGAAGAAGGCGAGTAAGTGTCAGGAAACTGGTAGACATGATGGGAATGAATTCTGGTTGGAGGGGCCCCCAATTAATTTCTTGCCTGGAGCCCCAACAGACTAGAATTGCCACAGAACTGCCCATGAGACCTCAGTGACTAAAGTGAACTGAGACAATTCAGGTCAATCCTTTCTCCTGCTGACTTAGAAAAAGTCCTCCATGCATTGATCTCCTCCAGACTGGACTTTTTTTTTAATACACTTGTGTTATAGATCATACTGTATCCAATGCAAAAATGTAGATTATCATTGATGAATGTTGATGTTCTAGAGGAAGGGGCACATTCCTCTCGCTCACGGGTCAATGTTAATGTAAAAATATGTAAATCATTGATTTCACTAAAAGTACTTAAAATGTCCAAAACAAATTTGGGAATTAGACTTTGATAAATATAATTTTGATATGTTTGGATTTCAGAAGGGAAGATTGGTATTTTTCATTTGTTTAATCATGCTGATCGAGTCTCATTCACTCCAGGGGAGGTGAGATTGACTACACCTGAAGTCAATCTGGCACTGATTATTATTATTGTCATATTTGACCTTTTTCAGTTTCCTGTATGAATCACAGCCTGTGAAAATCTGTTTATGTTCTCTTTGCTGTTTTTGGCCTGTTGGTGGCGCCTACAGTCCCCTTAAGGTCACTTCAGGAATGTGAGGAGCGCAGGTGGAGTATTTTAGAGTTGTGTAACTACGCTGCTCTGCAAAGACAGTCCAAGGTGGGAGGGGCCTGCGTGATGTCACTCGCAGTAGGGGGTGTATAAGTAGACGTCCTTGCAGCAGCATGAACACAAAACACCTGTTGGTGCTCTCCAGCCTGAACACACACAAAACTTTAAAGAGTCATCCAGAACTCTTAAGAGAGAGAAAGAGAGAGAGAGAGAGAGAGACTACTGCGGCTACTATCAAGCATCAAAACAGACAAGAGATGATGATGGCTTCCTTCATGTGCAAGACTCTGGTTTTATTCATCATCTTCACAGCTCTGCAAGAAGGTAAGTTACTTTGCTTTTAAATTGGGTCTTTCTTATTCACTTGAGACAAATTTTGAGATCTCTGTAGACAAAATCTGATTTTGATGTTTTTATTCCAAAAATGGTATGGCCAAAATAAATACTGCATGGATGTTTTGTTCAAGATAAGACAGAAGAAATAAAGCAATCCTTAGCAGAGACAATGTCACAAATAAATCCAACTGAATGGATTGACCAGATGTGACATTGTATAAATTATTTTTTTTAATTTTATTATTTAAGAAATATTTATACATAAACTGGGGCCCAACTTCAAGTTTGTCAAGTTAGTTTTGACTATTCAAACAATGAATTGCAACTTATTTTTGCAACCTTGTTTGGGTTGGGATTGTCAGGGTTTGGATTTCGGGCTGAAGGAAGTAACAGTCTAAACATTTGGTTTAAAATAAAAAAAAGTAATCAGGTTTGATGTAAAAATGTTTTTATTTAACTTTGAATATCCACATACTGTAGACTGTTCAAAACAAGAGCTCCTTTTGATACATGTTCATATCACATAATTATTAATATAATCTCCTTTGTTTAACGTTCAAGGTTGTTTGACATGGATGAAGATCTTTGATCCATAGTATGACAGATCTATTCTGAATATAAATCACAAACACATTTGTCAAACCACACAAGTGTTTGTAGTTCTTAAATACACAAGATAAGACAGTCACGGTGAAAAGCATTAATGTACACTTTTTAATCTCGGGATCCTTTGTTGTTCTCTAGGTTGCGGACTCCCCTTATCAGAGCGGACAGAGCTGCCAGCTCAGGCTGCACAACCACACCGCAGGACCAAGCGCTGCTCCTGCAGCAACTGGGATGATACAGAATGCATCTACTTCTGCCACCTGGATATTATCTGGGTCAACACGCCAAGGTGAGCCTACAGAGCGATGAGGACATGAACTAAGAATGATGCATTGCAAACATGTTTGGAAGATTGAGTGAAAACCATTTTTTTGCTGAATGCACCCAGATTCCCTGTTCTTAGAATTTTTGTTTTCCATTTACAGTAAAGTCCTTCCTTATGGCCTTGGAAGTCCCCTGACTCGTCGCCGCCGCTCAGCTGACCGTTGTGAATGCCTCAACCAAGCTGATAAAACCTGCTCTGGATTCTGCCATACGAGGTGAGCGTCTACAGCGAAGCATTGGACTTCCCATCACGTAGCCTTCTAGATGTTCAGATCAGATCGACTTAGATTCTGCGTCTCCATTCAGCGTCAGTCATGCGTGGCAGGCCTTAACACTGCTCTGATGTGGCAGACGAGTCGGAGAGGCGGCTACATGATTCAGCCTGTGATAATGTAGCCACAGCATAAGGGTAGTAACCACATTGCAGATAATGGCCCGCATTTCTTTGGAAGCCTTGAAAAGAAATGTCCAATGTTTATGAGCAGTGCTTCTATTTTTGGAATGGTTTTGCTTTCCTGAAATGAATTCTTGTTGCCTGTTTTGGTCATGAATCCGACGCTATGGATTAGTCATTATCTGTAAATGATATCTGAGGTGGTGTTTTGTAAGCCTCGCCCTGCATACCTGCCCATAAGGCATCCAAATTAATATTAGTTTGGAATCCAAAGAAAATTGCTTTGGAATCCAAAGAAAATTGCTTTGCAACATGAACCTACTTCGCTTCAAGTTAAAAAATAATGCAAAACAAAATCCTCAGTGTGTAGAGGTTAGATTGCGAGAGACTTTATGTGAGGGTTATTTTCCTGTTTTTAATGCTGAGTTTTTTTCTGTCCACAGCCCAGATGATCTAAGAACAAATGTCGTGGGTCCATTGGGAGAATCTGAAAGCACAAACAGCAACAAACTCCTGGAGTCTCTCAGGTAAACGAAGATGAACTCAAGCATTAGCATCTGAATCCATGTCGTGCATGTGGATGGCGTTGATTTCTCAGATATATGAAGCATCACTGACCTGTTCTCTTTTTTGTGTTCTTTAGATCTGTGGTCAAGTCCAACATGGCGATTGCAAAAACGATTCAATCGTCAAACGAGAACCCAGGCGGAGTCAACAGGCTGCCGAGCAGAACGAGAAGGTAAAGGACTGGGCAAGCACCACAAGCAGCTCAGCCTTGATGGAGTCAACCATCTTGGAAAGAAGACTCGTCCCAGCTGGCTTCAGTGACAGCGTCAGAGTTTTAACAACTACTGTGGATGCCGAGGTGGCAACAAAAAATGGGAGCGCATCCAATGTTTGATCAGGAAAGCAGAGCTAAGGGACTGGCAGCTAATCAAGACTGACGCCCTTCAGCAAAATCTATGTTGGGTGGGGAGACGTTTGAAATCAGTTGTTGAACTCTCTGAACTTTTATGAACTTACATGCCAAGGAAGAATCCATTAAAAGCCAAGGACAAAGCCAAGGAAACTGATGGAGGAACCAAGTCCAGGAAGACTAAAGGGTCACTGGTCTGTCGTCCTGTTGGGCCAAAAGTCCAGCGGCTCATCTGAATGGACATTTTTAAATCCTCCACTCAACATCACTCACGATTAGAGGATAGCTGAATGTCACAGAGTTAAATCAGCTCTGTCTCTGGCTTGGAATTGTTTTCCAGTGTTTATTCGGGCATTGCTGACCTTTGGGCCAGTTTGATATTGCTCTGTATCAGAGCTGGAATCTGTTGTCCTGCCTTACTGTTTAGGGCAAACAAGCAAGTAGCATTTGTAATTACTAGGCAGTACTTGAAAACGGCAGCTTGTTCACTCTTGGCACACATTGCTTCATTGAAATGAAGGTCATCCATTCGGGAATTTATCTCACAAACAATTAGCTTTATACAAGGTCCATTGTAAGCTCCATATGCTGCATACTTTCTGCAAGCATAACAACTGCTCTAGCTCTATTGTGTTGGCCTCAGTGTTTATTGCATATGTCCTGTTTAATGTTTTTATTGAAGATAAGCCAGAAGGTTTCAATAATGTGCAGCTTGCCAAAAATGCGACAATAGTTTTTCCCCCCTCTGACAAATGTTCCCTTAATTCCTCTGTAATTAGCCTCTGGAGAGTTATGACTCTCAACCTGTGTTGTGCACTTCAAGGGCTGTTTATCCATGTCTAGCACTTTTTCTCTGCCCTGTTTGATTGTCGTCGGCTCATTTTTAAAACATTTTAAAAGTTCATAGTTGATAAGAAAATATTTATCCTCAAACATCTCAATGCTGTACATGATGGATCGTCACCAGCTCAGAAGTTTACTGTTTAATGCTGAATGATAGAAAATATTGTAAATAGAACATTTTATTTATTCTCTAACTTATTCAGATATGTATTTATATTTGTATGAATAATGCACTGAACTATGCAAATGAAATAAAAAAGAAATGGAAGAAAATATGACAATGCAAGAATTTGTTTTAGTTATTTGACTCATTTTAATTGCTGTTTCACTCAGCAGATCTTCTATAACAGGGGTTCCAAAACTTGACAGCTTGTGACCCCCAACATAAGGGTGCTATTGACTGCAGACCCCCGCTGTCCCTGGAGGTGGTTAAGACATATAACGTAACATGCAGCCATGCAGCCATGCCCACACACTAATATGCCTATAACTCTGGCAACACAAAAGAACAAAACAAAAAAATACAACAGCATATTAACCATAGCGTTACTTTACATAGTTATTTATGTTAAGACAGGCTGGAAGCAGAATACAAGTCAGTTCCATGTTTAGTGGACTTCTTTTTACCATTGAGCTTTATTAATTGATCAAAGGCCTTAGCTTTCAAATGAACACCAAAGAATTCAGATAACTAGCTAAGCAACAAAAAAAACAGCAACAGATATTCATTGTAACGAGGCTGGAGCACTTTTTAATTACTTGAATCCGGAGTCCTCTACTCCTGAACGATGCCTTAAAATGTATACGCTTTGGTAATGTCTTTGACCCTTTCACATCCAGAGGCTTTTTTTAAAAACAGCGGGGATGTTGAAAATCCCCCCCCTCCTTCTCTCACTCTCCTCTACCTGGCTCTGTGTTTCCTGGATGGGCGGAGCTTCAGTGCCAATAAGGGCTGCCAGCTCACCTGCTTGCAAACTCTTTGGAAACAATGGAGCTGGCTGACTTCTGATTGAAAGAATCTCCCTGTCTTACTCTTCTTCTTCTTCTTCTTCTTCTGTTTTTGTTGCATCTGCCTTTTATTTTGTGTTACTTGCAACTGGATTGGGGAGATGACACTGCAATGTGTGATTGCCTTGTTTCTGTTGTAATCAGACGTATTCAACCTATCGTATGACTGCATGCACTGTAAATGGTAAATGGACTTGAGCCTGTGTATCTTTTCTAGTCTTCTGACTGCTCAAAGCGCTTTTACACCACATCTCACACCTACCAATCCACACACTGATGGTAGAGGCTGCTATGTAAAGACCATCAGAAGTAACTAATCCCATTCATACGTCGCCAAAGAAGCAGTAGGAGCAATTCGGGGTTAAGTGTCTTGCCCAAGGACACATCGGACATGTGGCTGCAGGAGCTGAAGAACGAACCCTCTTCCGGTTGAGAGACAACCGACTCTACCAACTGAGCCCCAGCCGCCCACTGTGGAAGTTGACAGTTTGTACCATACACCCCTCCTGTAGCTGTTGGTATCATTTTATATCCTGAAAGATCAAGCATTTTAGCCATGATCATCTCCTGCATTTTCTGTCAAATAATCTCTTGATGCTCTTCATGCATTCATTTAAGCTTGAGTCTGCAGAAAACAATCAGGTGTTTGATTCTACTTTGAAGCCATGCTTTACCTTAAAATAACAAAAGGCAAAATACATTGCATGTGCTTACTCCATGTCGTTGTCTGCTATGAAACATGTACTAGTTATCTCCTCATGGTCCCTCTGTCCCCTTGTTGCTCCACATGCTTATGTTTTCTTTAGATTAGTGGAGGGATGTGAGCTCAGAAAATGTTTATTGTAGAGGATGTAGAAGACTTTTTGGCCTTGAATTATCTTCAGGACGTCGAGGTTACAGGTCAAGTGTTTGAAGAATGACAGATAGTAAGACGAAGTGGGGCATTAGCAGCTTTTTAAGTCAACCCCAGGTTAATAAAATTTTGAATTTTAGATGAAGTGGCATTGGTCCGGATTTTTGTTTGTGTTGCTGGTGCTGAGGGTTTTGAAGGATGGACATGCAGTGACAATGTGCACCTGTGTGCATTCATTAGTTCATAGTAACGTCGCCGTTATTTACCGTGACGTCAGTAAAAAACAACAACTCTCAGACCCTCTGTGTTCATCACAGAGTGTGAATAGCTGACTAAGAGTGCAGAACGAAAACAGGATGCTTTTTCTGCATTCCTCCTGAATTCCTTTAGCACAGGAGAGAGCCGGGGAGAGGAAGAGAAACAAAGGAAAAACAGGAGCATGTCTGCTGTGTGCACAGGGAACTGATACGGCCTATATGGAGGATTGAGATTGCAACTTAATCATGCTGTTGTCATAACACTAGCTGCATTGTTTAGCTTTGTTTGAGTCCTGATGAAACGTTGTTACCCTATTTTTTCAACTCTCTGACATGCTGGCTGATGGTAAATCATGATGGTGTAATAATAAGTGTTTATGAAAGTCTACCTTGATGCCTACCTGTTGTTTTTGCAGTATAACCCATGTTGCATAACTGTAGTTAAATCACTTGACCGAGGGACAGTTTAAATGGATAAAAAATGATTGGAGGATGAACTTTTCTGTTTTTAAAACATTATTAAATCAAGTGGTGTTGCCTAGTTTATGACTTCTTTTTGAATGGACACCTGGAGACAAGAAATCTTTGTAAACAGAAAACCGCACAGCCAGCATATGAACACACAATAGAGATGAGGGCAGACAACCATCTTTAGATTATAGTAAACACAACCCAGTGTGGTCTCAAAGAAAAACATGTTCACAACTTCTAAACAAAAACCCGATGTTGTCACATTATTTGGAAAAATATCGAAATCAATAATATTAATAATAATATAACGAAATCAAGGATGTATGTATGGATACACAATTCCTCTGAAAGCCCGGTGATGTGAAGTTCACATACAGGTGATGTGCAGAATAATGTGTGTAAAATGAATATTTATTTTCATGTAATCCATCATAGAGTATTACATGAACACACGTCTTCATTTCACTTTGCATTGATAATTGTCCATTGTTGCAGGAGATACTTTAAACGCATGTGCAACACTCATCTCATTTTGGAGTCAATAAAAACATATATTGTATGTTTAAATATATTGAATACAGGCTACTGTCGGCCATAAACAATGCCAAAACAAGAAACCTGCAGAGACTCTGTCTTGTCTGTCATGTGCAGGAATGCACATCCAACCTCCATCCAACCTCTCGTCCTCTGTCCACAATCATATAAACCAAAAAGCCTTAATGTGGCAACAGAGTGGAAAAGCTATTACATTTTTGAAAATAAATTACAGTAATATTACCAATAAGATGTATGTGCTTTGGGTGTCTGGGGTCACCCAAGTTTTGTGAAGTCAAAGTGTGGTCAGCAACTAAAAAAAAGGTTAGGAACAACTGATTTACAATAATTCAAACCTAAACAAATCCCTGGATTCTCGCACAGCCACACAGTCACAGTTCAGAAATGGTATTTGCCACTTCCAAGTGAATGGCAAACATCATCTAGAAAACATCAAAAACATTGTATGTCATTTTGATGCAGAAGAAAACTAAGAAGGATGTTGAGTTTTGGTTGAGGTAACTTTTGATATACAAAAAGCTTTCATACAGCTTTCTTTACCTTGTTAAAGAGATGTTTGTGTGTCATGGGAAAAATAACTGCCTAAAGTTTTGACTGAACAGTACCAAAGCTGTTTTCAGTAGATGTTGCACAAGGATGTCGAGTGTATATTTTGAGCATTAAAACATGTACAGTAGTCTCTTGGTCAGTAGGCCTTTAACAAAATGTTGATTGCACAGGCATTACTCCTGGATTGTTTAAACTCTAACTCAAATATAAAAATAAATATGTCAGGTCAAGTCAAACTTTATTAGCACTTTTCATCCACAAGGCAACACAATGTGCTTCATATTTTACGCAATATGTGTCTTGACATTACCTGTAAACGATCTAAATTCTTGCCACATCATTTGTTTTTGTGTTTTTGCTTGCTGTTTTGCACTTCCAGTCCCAACAGGCTGTGATTACAGTTAAAGCCGAGGTTGGTACATTCCTCTTCTTCCTGGTTTTGTTTGCTGGGGCCTTTGCCGTGCAGGGATAGACTGGGGACAGACCGGCCTATCAGCACCGCCGGTCCAAACATGCCTGCTGATACCAAAACATCTAGTCTAGCCACGACCATAAAGTCCAGCAGGAAGGAAGCAGGCACTGTTGGAGAGAGGGTGATGGAGTTTCAAAGGACAAATGTGTAACTTTCCAGTCATTTCACCGCAAGTCTTAGGACTTTAAAGAAATCACTCACAGTCCAGGGGATAAACAGTTACATGGCTGTTTTGAATAGCAAGCATTCCTGGATGCTTCCTCAGTGAGTTCATAGGTGAGACTCATTAAGCAGCAACAGTGTAATCATTCAAAGTGTTCATCAGCATGCAGTATGTAAACCTATATGTGCTCATTGTTTCCTCTGGGAAATGACATGTCTCTTTTTTTCTTGCACAAATTGACTCAGACGATCAGACATTCTTTCTCCTGCGTAAACACATCTTCACATCTTAATGCAGATCACTGGCATGCCTGCACTGGAGGGAATTCTTCACATTATAGTTCAGATTGTCATCAAATTTTTCTTCTGTGTCCAGGCACACGTACACCCGATGTAGTGATTGCCGCTCGCAGTGTAACCCTGTCACATGTTGCGAGCTTTCAGACATACCCCTGTATGTGCGGCTCTGTAAACAGCTGCTGTCCTCCATGTGACACTGCAGATTCAAATCTTAATTTGCCATTCAGACAGCTGAAGATGTCCATCTGCTATCAGGGAGGGAAATGTATACCAGGTGAGTACGTGTAAAACGTTGGCAGAGTAGGGCGAGTAAGTGCAAAGGGGACAATGTTAGCATGCCTCAGGTGGACAGGCGTTATTTCAGTGATGGCGTTTGCATGAAGTTAGTCCCATTTATTTTTTTCCATATTTATCCTATTTTCACCACAATTACATTTTCATGAACTTGTTGTCGGGGTTGAGTAACCTCACCAAACATAAACATGATTTTTAACTAATGCAGCAGAACCAAAGACATATACCTTTCATCAGCCTTGTACTTCTATCTTGTCAAAACTTGTAATCCACAAATACCACAATGCAACCTGACAGCCAGCGGTTTAATGGCAGAG